AATGTTCTGTGTTCGCCAGGTGTCAAGGTAATCAGATAAACTAGTGACAATTGTCTATATGGTGTATGCGCGATTAATATCGGGTACTCTGTAATGAGAACATAAACGCAATTTTTAGAAATTGAAATCGTGCAAATATGTGTTGTAATACTACCTATGTCGTAGAATCATGATTTGTCTACACCTGTTTAATTTTAGTCGTTTACCAGAACATTTTTCAAGATGGTGAAATTAAAGAAAGATGCGTAGACTACATCACGATCACTTGGAAAGTGAAAGGTGATCAACCAGGATATATTATTTTCATATCACCACCGACTGTGGAAGGAAACTTCACGTTTATAATTGAGCAAGAAGACCTGAGTACCCTCATCGATCCAGACACTGGCGATCCTGAGTACACATTATCTACAGTGGAACAGGGAGTTACGTATGAAATTGCGGTCGTACTGCTAGATGGATCAGGGGGAGCTCTCGATAGTATTCTCCTCGTGAGTGGTGAGTATATGTAAGAGCATGGCAAGCTAAACTCACGTACAAATCACGAGGTTTACTTGGCGTCGTCAGTGACGTTTTTGAAATTCATATAATCGAACGCGCACACTCGACTGACGCAAATTTTGAGCGTTTGTTTCATACTCGATTGGATCCCGAGAGAGATGGTAACCGCACTCTTATGCTCAGTAGGTGACAGTAGTAGATGTAGTATGTGTAGAAATTCAAACTTGTGATGACGTCAGCTCAGTGTGTGTAGGCACAGTATCCCACTGAAATGTAATTGAAAGAAGAATATTGTATGAAAATATTGCTGTTTCAAGTTATGTGTATTGTAGCACTCCCATGGTGCATTTTACCTGTAAAAGAAGAATGTTGATATAAGAGCCCAGTTGTTGTTTAAAATCGTGTCACTCACATCAGAGATTGTTAATGTGATAACTTGGATACGCCATAGGAGAACGTCAATATTGTAATACTTCTTTGATAAAGTATCAATATACAGTGAAGAACACAAACCTATGCATGCATATTCATAAAAATGTAAATTCCGACCGTCAGCTAACATTCGTATCCAAATAGTGATTGCCTCAAAAGCTGGCTATTGTCTTTCCCATAATGTGAGCTTTCACATGACAATTGAATTATTAGGACATTTAGATGATTACTTTTATTTCTTCAATGAAATAACTGTTCATTTTTAGGCAGTTATTCACCAAATAAATACTCCATACTGTGGTAACCTAAATAGTTGATGACATACGTAATCACTGATAATTATATTACACTTTTGAAACAAAGTTCATTGATAAATTTTCAATACTTTCTCCACTGTTTATAAATCTATATACATTTTCATTAAATCATTTCATTTTCAGATGACATATGCGTACAAGCACTGGACCCATGTCTCAATGGTGGCACGTGTTGTGATGATGGCGAGGAGTATATATGCCACTGTACTGATGGGTATGAAGGAAATGAATGTCAAAACGATGTTGTTCCAGCTCCATGTGAAACAGATCCGTGTTTAAATGGAGGGATATGCCTTGAAGAGGGTACAGAATATGTATGCAGCTGTCCCGATGGTTATGGAGGCGATAATTGTGAAGAATGTAAGATCGCCAAAATTGACTAGCAAATTTTTGAGACAAACATACTAACTAAATTGTATCTCACATATCCAGAACTTTAATATGATGTACATACGTCCGTTATTAATATGTGAGGGATAAATTTATTTGACTCATACACAATACCTTGTTTTAATTGCAGTGGTACTGGTACCAATTGATTATTTAACGATCCACAGTTATCCTACATGTACAACTGCTCTGATCACATGGGAAGCACAGGATGTGGGACTCACACCCGAACGTTATGAAGTATGGGGATATCCACGATTTGGATTCCCTATATTTCCTAAAATTGAAATGTTGTGTGAATGTAAACATCCAATCACCCAGTGCTTGGCCAAGGGATTGGAACGTAGTACAACATATATATTTGTGGTGAAAAGTATAGCTGGCGATGAAGAGGTGAACAGTGTTGAAACGACTTTCGAAACAACAGGTAACTAAAAATGTCGACGATTTATGTATTCAGATTTCTCTATAAACTATAGATATCACATAATTTTTGCTTATAATGATGGCTCTTCTTGTTCAATTTTAATCATATATTTGCAGACGACCCTGGTTTTTCAAGATGCCCGAAAAATCCCGATTCTGTGTACGCTGATGGTGTACCCGAAGCAGTTGTCTATTGGGAGGAACCGGTAACAGAATGTAATAATACTTGGACATATGTAG